AAAAAAAAAAAAAAAAAAAAAAAAAGAGATTGTGGAGGGAGAGTACTACTGGTCATAAATTGTTGACTCCTTAAAATAAATACTAATTTTAACTTTGTCTTTTTTCAAAAGCACCCGTAAGTTTACATTACACATAAAATGACATTTATAACTTAACATGCCTACACACTTTTTAGAAAAGTGAAAAGAAGTATAAAACTGGTACTTTGTTTGCCACTCCTGTAGTGTGAACACAGCCTTCATTTTGGAAGCTTGGCCTCAGATACCAACTTTCAAATCAGACTGAAATTTTGCAATCTCTGTTAACTGTGGAAGTGCTGATGCAGCATTCACAACAATACTATCTGGCACTGCTCTAAATTAATGTTTATTCCACTCGAGTACCCTACTGCAACACTGAAAAAAGCTATTCCCAGCACAGACACACCTACTGCATTACAACCTACGCAGTATTAGCTTCAGAAAAGGAGCACAGAATGAAAGTAGCGCACGTGCATACATGTACTTTTAAAGAAAGGGACATAAGTGATACTGTTACTCTGCAATGTCAAAATGAGAAGCCTTCAGGTCAAAGACACTCTGTCCCAACACAGCCTGCCTTTCCCCTGCAGATAGCATCAGGGCATGCAGGCTACAGATTGGGGAATCACCCAGAGCACTAAGATCGGTGAAACACAAAGGTAGTAAAACCCATCTTGATCCCAAGCCACAGAATAACCGAGTACTGGGGGCCCTTAATCTGCAGTATTTTCTCTGCCTTCCATCTGCTGTGGCATGAGGTGTAGAGCAAGGGAAGACTGCCAAGTTATATTAATCAAATTGAGTAACGTCATCACCTGAAGCTTCAAATATCATTAGAAGAGACCCACTTACTCTCAAGAGAGAGACAGAAAGGCAGGACCTGTCTGGAGGAGTTCCCAGTGTTTAGAAGCCCAAGTCTGGAGCTTTGGACAGTACCGAATTGCTATTTAAGTGTTGGTGTACTTGTTTCTTTTGTTGCTTGTTTGACAGACACCAAAGCCAGCAATTTAGCACTGTAGTAATATGTATTTTAAATCACACATGCCAATGTGGACAAGAGCAGGAAAGGTTACGTCAGATCTTTATGAACCACATGGCTGAGGCAGTGCTGATGAGACACAAACAAGCACTACATATACAATGGGAAGCAAAACTTGTGCCCATAGGAAAACTACAGGGAGTATAGTAGTGGGGCAAGCTCACTGCAGCTTGGGGCTTTTTTTACCTCATGGAGGGTGAGATGTTTGCCGTCCTTTCTCTTTGAGTCAAATCTGCCATATATTGCACTGTATTTCCTGATCTCCTCTTCTTTGTGAGGATCCTCGTCACTCATCTCAAAGATATGACCAATCATCTTTGCAAGCTTCTTATTTGTTTTCAGTAACTCCTTTACTTCATTCAAGTCACTTTTGGGCAGGGAGGGCACCATACGTTCTACGCATTCAGCAACTGACAGGGCAGCTGCAGCATCCAGGGTCTCAGAGTTTTCCTTTGGTGAAGCTGGAGAGCCAAGGTCAGCTGGGGAAAGGCTGTGTTCACTCTCTGTAGTGTGGTGCCCCTGCCATAGTCTCGGTTCACTGGCACTCTGCAGCGTTAAGTTTCCCACACCATCAGATTTGCCTGCACCCACACTTTGCACGCATGTAGTGGCAACACATTTTGGAATCTTCAGGTGGGGCTCCCTGGCGTTACTACTCCTTTCATAACTACTGCAGGATATTCCCAACCAAGCAGGAGACCCTTCTGGTAATTTATATATTGGAATGCTACTGACTGGTAAGGACGTGAGAGGCTGATTGAAAAGCCCTGGGTTTGTGACCCAGTCCCTCAAAGCCTTCTGCAGTCTTCGAACATGAAGAGGCTTGCTTGCCATGCCTACAAGAGCCATTATCTCCAAAAACTCCTCTTCGCCAGCTTCACAGAGTTGCTGGACATCATCACCACCCTGCTGAATGAAGGCATCAAAGTAGAATAAAAGATTTGCCTTTTGTAATATTCGATACAGCTGCAATTCCCCAAGGGTTCTGGGTAAAGCCGACGCCATCACAGGTAACAGAACCTATGAAAAGTAAAACAAGGAGAAAACGAACATCAGTTACCAAAGGAAATGCTGAAGTTCAGAGACTTTCTTCCTAGACTCGGTGTTGTCATAGAGAAGAGTATTTCTCCTCAGTGTACAAAAGATCGTGGCTAGGAAAAAAGTTACTGTGTTTTCCCCTTTGATCATTCAGCAGCTTTCATTTTCTGAGATGGAGTCAATGGCTAAAACATTTATGAATGAATTTCAATCTACCCCTTACTGAAGTTTCTGCAAAGCTGTGACAGGAGATGATTCAAGGAGAACGCAGCTTACTTTCAGTTTCACCTAAGAATATCAAAACGGTACACTGACCTGCTACTTAGTACAGCTCTTTCTGCCCACTTCAATTCACAATATAACCAAGGATCTGCCTGATAACAACATAACCACAACTCTAATAAAAGAAACTGCTAATTCTGACTACTCCTCCTTGACTCACTTCCTTCCCAAATACTCAGGTGAATGGGTGGGAGGGCAAACAAGATGGGCTTTACAGCAGGCCTCAAAGTTAACAAATCTAGGTTCTGGCTGAAAATGCTCTCAGCATGTTCAACAGATCCTCACAGACACCTCCCATTTGTTGACAGTACTTTTCATAGCTGCCTCTACAAAGTGTTTGTGCGCATATATACACAATTAGCTTTATGCCTTTGCTGATTTCAATCATGGCAACATTACCGAGAGAAAGTTTCTGGGTTAGCAAAGTCCTACAGGAGTGAGTTTCAGAGCTTACAATCAACATCTTGAACTTGGCTGCCTCTTAGATACCAGGCAGCCTAGATACACCACTGGTGTTCTCTCAACATGACATGAAACCATACTCAGGGAAAGGAGAGTTACAGTCTCAATGGTCCCAGAAGGCAGCCTCATGCAGTGCACGCTGCAGCTGTCTCTCCTCAAGGAGAGAAAGTGCTCTATTTCTGTATCTTGAGAAAAAAATATTTGTATTCTTTTGAATTAGGGAAAAATATCCCTTATTACCCATGCATCCTGTGACTGTTATTAAGTAACTTAGAATACCCTGAAAAGTTTTAGTTAAAAAAACATGTATGCTAACATTAACTCCAGCATGGGTTTTACAGAAACAATGGGGAGTTTAAGGGGAGTTTAGGGTACTGTCATATAGGCTGAAATCACTGATCAAGAAAAGTTTGAACTGCATAATTTACTGGCTGTTATGAAAGCACTAGGACTAAAATCTAGAACTGAACACCTAATACTTTTCCTGCTCTACCACTGCAAAGCATGTTAAAATTAGGAGATTAGTTGCTTAAAGTCAACATTTACAAAATATGCAGAACTATACATATTACTAGTTACTAGCATAACTTTCACAAATATTACCATAAAAAGATACATAGAAGTGCAGGGTGGATTTAAATTACAATTTAAATCACAATCTGAATCACTGGTCAGGAAGCCTCAATTTAAACACTGTTTTCTACAAAAAGTTCATTCTTGTTGTTTGATATCCTTTATTTGTTTAACTTCTTGAAACTTTGCACTTTTAGAAGAAGGTAAGGGCTTGACTGTCTATACAAAATCGCAGAGACAAGAGGGCTGATGGATAGGTAGTCAGGTCTGTTATCTCTCATCGCCATATAATGCTGTTAACAAGGATGTTATCTCTGGAGAGACAAATCCACAGATTGAAAACTGAAATTAAGCATCACAGAGATGCTTAATGGGATCTTCTAGCCTGAGCACCGAGTCCCATCAGGTAGAGTGGTGTTTTTTAATCTTTATTAATCTATAGAGGAGCCTCTAGAAACCCCATACAATTGGGCCCCTAATATAGTCCATGGCCTGTTGTGACCCATTTATAAAACTTTTCTAAAAAGGTTACACAAATATATTGTCTCAAATAGCATCTAATATACATCTCAAGTAGTATGCAATTAGAAGTTATAATTCCTATTCCACAATATCTTTGAGCTTTAACATATTTTAAATTAAAACCATCTTTATATAGATTTATTTTTTAAAAAGCATCTTAACAAAAAAAAAAAAATACAATTAACTTAAAAAAAATCCTATTTAAATTCTTAAAAATCCAATTTTTTTTTAATTGTTGATTTTTATCAACCCTGCAGAAGTGTGTACTTGGGGCAAAGGGGTAAACTGTTAGGGAAAAAGTGGTAGTAGAAAGTATTTTTAAATTTACATGCCGTTTTGCCTTCAAGAGCCCTTAATGTCCCCCTCTCCAAAATGTACAGGAACTAACAAAATTAACACAGAACTTTTGTAAGTAAAGTTTAACTTTCAGATGCCCAGCGAGTAAAGCTTTGATTTCATTAAATGCTACCAATGAAACTTAAATTAAGACGGACATAAAAATTGCACAAAACACAGTAGTAACAGGTTGTATGTGAACATATATCTTCAGGGGGAAAAAAAAAGATTTACACAAGACCGAATGATATTTCTTGACTGGTATTTTGAAATCAAAATAGATGGTGTTATACCTGTTCAGTTTTGAGTGGGCAGTTTAAGTACCATAACTGGACAGATCACAACCAAATAAATTATGCACTCGGGAATGCAGTATGAAATTGGAAGTCCTTATGAACACTAAATATTGCAGCACAGTAGGTTAACTTATTGCAGCAGGATCCTTGAAAGAAAATGTATTTGAGATATTCTGTTAAAAGCTACATACTGTAATTCAGCAATATGTGAAGTCCCACGAACAGGATCCCAATATATTAAATAGTAAAATTAAAGAAAAACACTGACAATAAACTGAGATTACATATTGGAAGAGTTAGCAATCTCTCTTCTGTTATATTTTTTCCACCCTCACCATAATATTTTAACAAGTGAATTCAAACAATGAATATGAATGATTCAATTCCTCCATCCTGACACAAAATTCACATAAACACACTTTGTCTAGAGAACTCAGTAGAGTCCTGAAAAGGAGGAGGAGATGGCCTCTCACCTCCCAAGGCAAAGCGTGGAGATGCTTTTTCCAGATGACAGGCTGAAAGAGTAGCTAGTCCATTGGCAATCTTTACCTGGAGGTTCCAGACCAACAAATCTGCTCACAACGGACAAATTTAGATTAATATATACTATGGAGGTACCACTGGTGACCCCACGGTTCAGACCATGTTGAGGCATTTAAAGCATGACTGAAATCACTGTTTTGTATTTTAAAGCCTGAAATCCAGTCTCCAAATTAAAGTAATTTGAGAGGAGAACGTTTTCTACACATTTAAATAAGGCATTTACTAACTTATACAGAAACGTTTTTAAATGTTCCAATTGGAAGTTTTAACCTCTTTTTTCTCAGGTTAATTTGCACTCCTCTATTTCAATCCCACCTATTCTGACAGTACCTCCAACATGGGACCACTTCTGGATTTTTAAAATTAAACATATTTGAGCGACCTTACTCAAATGGTCAGCTACTTTCATTTTCTAATGCTTCCAGCTTGCCTCCCTGCCTCACTAGCTCTATTCAGCTCTTGAACTTGAAGGCCAGGAAGGCAGGGAGGCATCTGACTGGTCTTTATCAGGAGCACAAAGGAAAGAAACTGAGCTTGAAGAACACAAGTTGAAGGAAGGGCAACTATGAGGAAGGCAGTTCTGTCCAGAGGACCAGAGTCTGGGCATATCTAAGTGACACAATGAAATGTCACATAGAAATACATGATCTAGACTTCACTGCTGTGCTAATGCAGCTCTGTTTCCAATATCCAAGCAAACTCTGAATGAGCATACCCCCCGTGGGAACCCAGGTAGACAGCTAGCTGATGCCGACTCCTGCCTATGCCAAGAAAGACAGACAGCAGCACCAAAAGGTACCAGTATATGCATCCTAAGCTACTCACGGCACTGCTGCCTGCCTTTCTGGGGAAAATGAGGCAGTTTACTAAGAGGAGATGCCAAGTATCACTGCTTTAGTGTTGCTGCTTCAGCTTCATGATAACCATGCAACACTGCTGAGGGAAACATGACAGAAGGCTGTATAAACAGAAAGGCAAAGTGGGGGGATTTGTACACGACTATCCAATACCCTTGTTTCTGCTCTATCAACGGAAGAGTCAGGTTCTTTACCAGACACAGGGGCCATGTGTGCCCCGCACCTCCACACACTCCTTACAAAGGCTCAGGCCTTCTCACCTGCAGTAATGGCCCTGGGTTTGGGTCAGGCAGGTTGATAATCTCCTGACAAACTACCGGAAGATAGCCAGAAAAGACTGCTCCCTCAGGACGGAGTTACTTTGAGGTACTTTCAGCTACAAGCATCTTCCTACCTTATGATTTAAGAAAGAGACTCCTGGCTGGACTACCCTTGCATTGACCCTCCTGACTCATCTCCAAGTCTCCCTTCCTGATCATTTGCATCATGAGTGTCAGATGACCTTAAAACAAGTCTCTGTTCCAGTGGGGAAGAGGTAAAGAACAGCCTGTAGGAAGCAAAGCTAGGTAACACGTGTTGGGAAAGAGTATAATCATGGAAGAAATCTGTGCTGGATCTAGAGAAGCACAGGAACCAAAACACAACTGAGGGCATACAAGAAAGAAATGATGCTGTGCAGCAGGCCAGGAAGGAGAACAAGGTGGAGCCCAAGGGAAAAAGAACACACATCAAGGACAACAGATACTTTTTTTTTTTTTTTTTTTTTCCAAACAAAAGACCCAACTCCACCTAGGAAATTTCCCTTAAATAAGAATACTGTTTAAAATATATTTACAGCATGCATAGATACAGCCATGGAAAAACCAGGAAATTGCTGGTTAAATCTTCATCCAACCCTCAAAGCCCACAAACCATGCATTTTCCTTTTCCACATTACCTCATTTCTATCCACCACGTGTCTCCCCTTCAGCATAACATGTCACCTTAACTCTGACCACAACACACAAACTACTGGAAAAATTCAACTGTATGCAGACATTCAACAATCGCTGCCCAGAAGCAAAAAGCTTTACTACAGCCAATTCCTACCATTAACATAAACTATCAATGAGAAGTCTATGCTACACACAATTATTTACCTCAGCACTAGACCACTGCAACATCCTGAACAATTAGAAAGCATCCATTTCTAACCATTTCACATGGTAGGAGTTGAAGGTTGCACATTTTGTGTGGAGGTGGAGGGAGGAGACATGTTGCCTGTGGGCGGTGGATGTGGGCGAGGTAACACAGAGAAGGAAAACTCAGGGTTGTGGGATGTAATCCTACTGGGTGAGGATTTAACTAGTGATTTCCCAGATTTTTTGTAATGGTTGTGATGCTGGTAAAGGCAGTTCAGCAACCTTAGCTACATTTTTTAGCAGTACCGTTGAGGATGAATTACACCTGAGCTGCTGCCAATTAAATCAGAAGTGTGCATAAGAAAAAAAGGAAGAAACAGCAAGTTACTGGATTTTAGACAAAAGTTAGTATTTCATAACCTATTCTAATCACTTCTGGCATTCTGAAAACTTTCTGAAGACAAGCTGCATTCGAGTTTGAGAGAAGCTGCTTTGCACCTGTTCTGGTTTGGTTCTTTTTTTTTACAGTATTTCTTAAAGTCTCTTACTAAAAGAAGTTACATGCCTTTGCAGCAGCTAGATTCAAAAAGCCAAGGCAGATACAAGACTGCTGTACCAAAAATGATTTTGAAATGCACAGAAATATATTCCATTAAATAGGATTTTACCCATTTAGATGCTTGGTATAGCACTGTGTAAGAAATCGGACACTTAAAAAAAAATCCACAATACAGCCCTAACATTATTAGTCGTCCACCGCTTGCTCTGGATGGTCTATCTATAGAACCGCTGGACTGGGCTAAGGTAATCTGGCGCGTTTTATTTATGGCTGCCAAAATGAGTGGCAATCAGATCCGGAGCTGTGATTCTCCATGCTCTCGTACAACTGTGGCCTCCTGAGGAAGCTAAGAAAAATGGTTTGAAAAGAGAAGAGAAGCAAGCAAAGCAGGCACCTGAGCCACTGAATTGCATTTTAGGTTTGAGTGGAGGCATGCAGCCTGTGCAATTTCTGGGGGCAAAAAGAAACAACCTAGAGGGGGGAGCCCAGTGGTTTGGGGAGGACAGGGCTCCTTCTCCATCCGCACTCCAGTCCCGCGTTGGAGGGGGAAGAAAGTCTCAAGTCTCTTTCTCCGGGAGGTGTCCCTGGGAGAGGGCACGGCGGGTCTGCGGGCAGTGGGTGCACACTGCCCAGGAAGTCAAAACAGGAGCCCAAGGGCAGGCAGCCTGGACCTGTGGGCAGCTCGGCTCCTGCCCTGCGGGGGCAGCCGGGAAGCGCGGGGCTGGCACGAACCGCAGCAGCCCCCCACCCTGCCCTGCCCGTGGGGACCGCGACACCTCCCGCTCCCGGGCCGCGCCGCGG